CTTAAGGACTTACATCTTCCCAAGCCTTGGCTTGGTTACAACAAAAGTGAGCTTCGCTCAGTACATATTAAGCCCTTGGCTTTACAAAAAGGTAAACAAAAGTAAATAAGCTCTAGCTTCCAACAATTCTCCTAGCTATTGCCTTGGAGGAGGCAAGTCACCAACACCTGAAAACGTTATTCCCAAGTAGGGTGAGCCACAGCCCAATAGAAATCATCTAACATTGTGGGGGCTGAATATTTGGGATCATAAAGAGGCCGAATGGCTGAACTTGGGGAATTGGAGTATAAATATAGTATTCGGCTTCGTCCCACAATTTCAAATCCTATCGTATTTGGTCAAAAGGCCGGTTGGGTAAGAGGCCAAGTGAAAAGCAATTTGCTTTAAGAGAAGCCGAATGGAAAACTAAAGGTAAGCCCAACCCCGAGGCCCAAGAAAGAAAGCATATAAATAGAAGAACGTCAGCCAGAAAGAGGCATGTGAGAAATATTATGCTTAACTTAGAATACAAACAATCTTGAGTGTAGAGACTGACTTGCCCGTCGAAGTGCTAATTCCGGCATCCCCGACCGGATTGTTTATTTCTTTTTAGGTGACTAGCAGAGGATCACAAGCGCCCCCCAGGATCTAAAGAGTATTTCCAAGCCACTTCTCCACAATTGGCGCCGTCTGTGGGAATACTCAAATACATCTATGGCGGGCGTAACAGAAGACCCTCCGATAGTCACCGACGAAACCACACAGAGAGACGAGCTCACTCCAACAACCATGCTTGGACCGGAGACTATTGCCGCAAGACGCGTTTTGAACTTCGCCTCACCCTCAACTTCGGAGCATGAGACAATGCAGGCGATCATGGAACAGGCAAAGCAAAATGACCAGAGGTTGGAGAACATGATCGCTGAGAATGAACGTCTCCGTCAAGATCTGGCCTTGGAGGTGGCGAAGTCCAAACAAGTTGTACGCCTAGATCCCGAGCGACCTCCGAGGGTAGGTGGTCGACGACCCCGAGCCCGACAAGACTACACTGAAAGTGACTCCGACTCATTATCCCTAGAGCCCAAGAAGAAGGGGCAACCTGAAACTACCAGTTCTTCTGAAGAGAGTCCTCGTATAAGGCATACGCGAAGAAGAAACAGTTCAGATGAAGATCAACACGACCCCTTTGTACGACGGATTGCAAAGGTAGTGCTACCCAAAAAATTCAAAGCACCATCCTTCACTTTGTACGATGGTAAATCAGACCCCACCGATCACATCCGCCATTACAAGTAAGCCATGACGCTACATACGAATGACGAGGCTTTGATGTGCAGAATATTTTCGAGCAGTTTGGGACCACTAGCTGTCAGGTGGTATTATAAACTAGAGCCGGCCTCGATTAAAAGCTTCCACCAACTCCAAAAATCTTCCAGGGCAAGGTTTATCACTAATGAGGTCCAGCCAAAGCAAGCCAATTCCCTTTGGGCAATGCAGATTCAACCGGGGAAAACCCTTCGTGCCTACTCGGCGCGATATTGGGAATGTTTCAATCTGGTAGACGATGCTTGCAACAACTCCATGGCCATCACCGCCTTCAAGATGGGGCTGCATCCCGACAATGCCCTCCGCAGCTCTTTGACCAGACGGCCCCCCCAAAACAGTTTGGTCGTTAATAAAGAAAGTTAAAGAATACTGTAAAGTAGAGGATGATGCCTTGAGGGTTAAAACAGGAAATATGACCAACAAGACGACTCCTACTGAAATTGCACAACCATTAAACTCTGTAGCGCCGCAGAGGCCTGAACCACGACATCGGGCGAAACGAGATAAGAGACAAGACTCTCGCCGATCAAGCGACCAATTCTCCCACCGAGAAAATGAACAACTACAAGCTGACAGCAGGCGCACGAGGCGCGCCGACAAGAAATATACGGAGTTGACAGAGCCGATCAGTATGATCATGTCCAAAATCTAACACCTTTCGTTCTTCAAATGACCGTCGAAAATAGTGGGACCTCCCGACACGAGAAGACGGGACAGACGGTGTGAATATCACAAGGACCATGGCCATGGTACTAAGAGTTATTATGCACTGAAGGATCACCTGGAGGAATTGACACAAGATGGCCGGCTACAACAGTACGTCCGAAAAGGCAACCTGACCAAAGCAATAGCCTTAAGACATGATTCACCTCCGCTCAGCGTGATCCAGATGATATACAGCCTGCCAATGTCATCGGCGATGTGTACGATTCAGTCGAGCTCCGACCCTCAAAGCTAACACACTTCGGCTAAACAGCCTCATGAAGCCGCAGGCATTACTTTTGATGACTCAGATTTGGCCGGAGTGACACTAAATGATAATATCGAATAAATTGCAAGATCAACAACATATAGAGAAGTAAAGCTAACCAATTGGGACTAACTTAATTCATCAAAACTTTTAACACTTCAAGATTAAAGAGATGTTTGGGATGTTCTAAATAAGTGTATTTTTTGATTTTTTATAAATTAAAAAAAAAAACATGTAGAAAAATAGAGAAAATGGGTAAAAAAATAGAGAGGAGATATTGATAAATGTTAATAGATATTGATTGATATGACCCAAATAACTATATATATGTAAAAAAAAAATATGTACTTTTTTAGTGCATGCCAAACAAGCACTAAATATTTAAGTTTTTCCATAGATAAGATTCTCACTCAAGTCACATTAAATTTAAGAGTAATGGTAGAGGTTCCAAAAGTTCTATCAAAATTTCTACCAAATATCTTTTGATAAAACTTTTAAGAGCTCTAACAATTTTGTAAATTTAAATCTATAACACACTTCATTTTCCTTCGGGTTTTTTTCGGTGGACTTTGTAACATTGTTGTATAACTTATACTATTAAGAAACAAAATCCCATTTTCAAGCAACAAGATTCTCACTTAAGTCATTAAATTTAAATTTATAACATACATTCCATTCTCCTCTTTTTTTGTTCTTCTTCTTCTTCTTCTTCTTCTTCTTCTTCTTTCTTTTTTTTTTTTTAAAAAAAAATAACATTGTTGTATAACTTGTATTATTAAAAGCAACAAAATTACATTTTCAAGCAACAAAAATGATGCCATAGAATTTGGGTACTTCATTGGGTGGAAAGTAACCATCAGACGAAGCAAGCTATTTGACTGGTTAAAGGAAACCCCAATTACACTAAGAAGCCGTGTGATGTGCCTCTTCCTTGCGAAGTGAAGGAGATGATCACTTTTTAACAGTCAAACCCAGTGTAATTTCAAAACACTTTCCAAGTCAAATAAACCAAATTTTCAATAAACACAAGTTACAAAGTTGCAATAAATCCCAATTAATATATATATATATATTTATCAAAATACTTTTTATATTGTGGCAGTGGCTGTGTGTGGTGATCATAATGGTGGTAGTGATGGCATGACAGTTATGATGGGTGGTGGTTGTGAGGTAGGATAGAGTTAGTGAAGGTGGTAGTAGTAGAGTGATGGCAACGGTGGTGGTTGTGTAGTAATGATAGATAATGATAGATAATGATGCTAATGGAGTAGTGGTGGTGTAGTGGTTGCAGTGGTAGCACTTGCATGTAATGGTGGAGTTGGAGAGGCGGCAATGATGATGGCAGTAGTAGTGCATTGACATCAGTGGTGACGGTGTTATGATAGTAGTGGTGATGGTAATTGTATATTGGTGAGTGGTAACAATAGCAGCAGTAATGATCATGTTGGTGGTGATACAATGAGTAATGGCGAGAATAGTGGTGGAGGTGAAGTGACAGTAGTGGTGGTGGTAGTAATGGTGGTGGTGATGACAATAATGGTTGTGACATTGGTGGGGAGACAGCAATATATCCCAACTGAAACATAATCAAAGTAGATTAAAAATTCAGTATTCAACATTCAAAATTAAGAATTTTGTTACTTAAAATTTTAGTCTATTTTAAGAGGTGCTTAAAGCTTTAATTGATAGGAATTGTGGTTATCAAACATACTTCATTTATTTTAACTAAACATATTCAATTTTTACAGCTAAATTGGGTTATAAAATGCCACCTTAGCCATGAACTGGTCTGCAAGATTGCTGGAAGTTCTTTTAACAATAATAATAACAAAAGAGAGCATTTACATGTGAGGTATAAGAGTGCGAGGATCTGGAGGAACATCTGGACTTGCCTGCCAAGCAAGAAACAAGTTCAGTACCTTTCCGGAAAAAAAAAATAATAATAAAAGTAAAATATAAAGAGAAGTAAAATCTCAGCAAAATGCCTCCACTAGAACTAACTCGCTTGAAAATCTAAAGTTGCGTTTAGTAGAGTTTTCTAAATATGATTTGAGAATAGAGTTGTATTTTGAGTTTGTGAGTTTTAGAAATATAATTTGAGTGTGAAAAATTTGTTTGGTAAAAGAGTTTTGAAATTTTTTTTGAATTGAGTGGGAAATTTTTAATAAGACATATGATATTTAATACAAAAACTTATAACTCATAAACCAAACACACAACTCAAAGTTTTTTTCAAAACTCATAAAAAAAAATTTTAAATTCGGAAAATATTTTTTATTGAATATATAAAAATTAACATGTGTCAATTGCAAATAATAATAATGCACTGTTCCGGACGACCAGTGGGACGACCGATTAGTCCAAATTTTCCTGCTTTGAACAGAGTTTTCAAAAATAAGTGTGAAATTAATTTTTGAAAACCGAAAACAAACACAGTATGCAAATCAAAGCCTGGAACTAACGTTCCAAAGCTCTACCAAACAAAGCCCAAATAATTCTTCTTCAATGAAATGATGCTTTATCATACCTCTAGATATCTTTTTAACATTGTTGTTGTACTGAAATTGAAGCCCTCAACTGGTTCTCCTTTTTTCCGAGATGCATGAAGTTGCCTTCTGACTTGGGAAGCCAGCGACTGTATTTTAGCGTCAGTATACCAGCACCACTACAAGAAAAAGCATTTTTGCCGACCCAAATAATTCTTCTTCAATGAAATGATGCTTTATCATACCTCTAGATATCTTTTTAACATTGTTGTTGTACTGAAATTGAAGCCCTCAACTGGTTCTCCTTTTTTCCGAGATGCATGAAGTTGCCTTCTGACTTGGGAAGCCAGCGACTGCATTTTAGCGTCAGTATACCAGCACACACCAAAAAAAAAAATGCGAATTACACTAACAGTCCCTATAGTTTGGAGTTCGTGTCACTTTGATTCCTGACTTTTCAATTGTGACACATTTGACCCTGAATTTTGAATCTTGATCCAAATCAGGACAATTGAAGATATCATTACTTAATTCCATGGGCAAAATAGTCAATTTAATAAAATATAAACTAATTTGACAAAAATAAATGTCAAAATAATATTTTTGAGTTTTTAAAAATTATTTCTACCCACTAAAGATAAAATTATGTAAAATTAATAAATCTTTTAAACATTTTTTTTTACCAGATTAATTTTGATATATGTTTGGATAATGATCATGTAATGGGTGTTTGTTAGCATTTAATGTGTAATTAATATATTTAATATATGAAATGTTTTTAGCTTTGAATTTTTTGATTTAATGGATTAGTTTAATAATGATATCAAAGTTGTCTCCATATTTGACTTTTAGAAAAATAAAAATTAATTTAATAAAAACAAAAACAACCACCCATTACATAATTACCATCCAAACATATAATAAAAATTAATTTGGTAAAAAAAATAAATAAATAAATGTCTAAAAGATTTATCAAGTTTATATAATTTTATCTTTAGTGGGTAGAAATAATTTTTAAAAATTCAAAAATATTTTTTTGACATTTATTTTTGTCAAATTAGTTTATATTTTATCAAATTGACTATTTTGCCCTTAAAATTAAACAATAGTATCTTCAATTGTCCTTATTTGGAACAAGATTCAAAATTCATGATCAAATCTGTCACAATTGAAAAATTATGGACCAAAATGAGACAAGCCCCAAACTATAAGGACCATTAGTATAATTTGCCCCCCCCAAAAAAAAACAGCACAAAAAAAATAAATAAATAAATAAATAATTAATCTGAAGTTTACATAAGCGGCAAAACGGTAGATGACAAAAAAAAAAAAAAAATTGAAATGAACACGAAGAACAATTTTGGAAAACAGCATAAACTATAAGGAGGAGGAACTGCAGAAAACAGGTTTTTCAAAACACATACCTTTCCTAACTCAACTCCCCACTGGTCAAAAGAGTTGATACCCCATATGAAACCTTGGACAGCAATTCTGTGTTCATAGATTGCCAACAACTGGGGAAGACACAGAAAGAATTTCCAGGATTACGCCACATAGGAAGATATGTCGGTCACTTGGCAAAATGTACAAATATGCACCAAGCACAGTCCCGCTATGAAGCGGCCTGAGCTGAGCATATTGCACTTTCTATCTTTTCTTTCCTTTTTCCAATAGCTCCACTTATAAGCCAATCATTGAAGCTCTATAGGATTTCCAAATAACTTATCGTGCATATACATGAACATTCTTTAATCTGGATTCTGGAATATAATTCAGTTAAAAACTGAAGCATATAATTCAGGTATTGGACAGCATGATTGATTGGTCAATTGTTCTATGCAATGAAAAACAGCATAAGGTCCCCTTAAAAAGCATGGCTAATTGGTCTAGGTGTTGGAATATGCAGTACAGACTGCAGGGTCAACCAAGTCCTGTTTACACCCACATGGTCAACTTGGGACCAAAGTGTTAAGTTTACAAAACTTCTGGATTTGGTCATTCTCAGAACTAGTGCGATCATCTTTTCAATTTTAACAGAGATTCTATGCACATTATGCATGTAACCTCAATGGTCGTCTGGGAACTTCAGACCACTAAATGGGCTACAAAGACGAGGGGTGTTTTGAACAAATTTAAACTCTCAAAACCTCCGATGATTATCAACAAGCACAAACTATTTCATGAAAGCACAAAAAGGTGCGACTAGACCTTACATGTCCAATATTATAAGCATTTAATGATGGAAGCAAAAGGCTGAAAGAAGGCCGATTGCCAGAGAAGGTCTGTGAAGGACAATATAAATATTAGGAACAAACTTACAACGGAAAGTACGAAAAGTAAGAGACTACATGTCATGAGAGGAAAATTACCTTGTGAGGGATAAGATGAGGGGGAACATTCTCATTCTGCAACTCTTGTGGTGTCTATAAGAAACTGAAATTTAGTTAAATAGGAGAATTATACTGACATTGTGTCAGTTTAACTTATTTACCAAAAAGTGAAAAACATTATACACATTAATAATTAATATTACAAACCTTTTTTTTTATTAATTTGTAATTTTTTTCCACTGACCCAACTGTCAAGTAATTGTCCCGAGTTAAATATCCTGGCACTTTTAGGCAGCTGTTGCAATCACAAGGCAAATTAATAGAAAAAAATCTTATGATTTCCATATATGAATGCACACAAATAAAAATGGAAAAAGAAACAATCAACACTACAGAAATTTTCATAATGTCATACACCTCATGACGCAGCTACATGGCTTTAAAGTTTCACAAAATCACCGTAAGGATTCTTCATGATGGTTGCGGCTGCTTCTTTTCATTTATTATTACTATTAGTATTATTAATATTTTGTTTTTTTGCACAAAAGCAAAATGGCAATTTAGAGAACTATTGGCTAGACAAAAAATTGAAAGTAGATATCAATGGGGGGAAATAGCAAGGTTATGGAAAAGCATCCATCTTACCTTTCCATAAGCAAATCGTGGTTACTCACCACTTTACCTGCAACACAATTCAATGAAAATTTTTGTAATGGATAGAAACACCATCAAGAAAATAAGGGATCTACAGACCACCTTTACCAAGCCATTCAAGTAAACTTGTTTTGGCAATACTGAGATAAGAAATTGTGGCCAATAAAGAGAGGGGGAAAAAAGAATGAGGTACCTTTAAGGTACACAGGTTGCTGACTCTTCACAACACCAATAAAATCACAAGGAATTACTCGCCCCTGAAAGTTCCAAGAAGATGGGTAATAGGGACAGAGTTTACAACATGGAAAAATATATACAAGCGAAACATAATTTAGTGCACATACATTCACAGCAGCAACCTGGCAATCAGTTCTGTATTCTTCACAGACATTAAGCAATTCAAGTTCTATATAACACCTCTGAAAAATGGTCAAAATGTTAATACTATATGTTCAGAGGAAAAAACATTCGCAAACTACTCACCAGCCTCAGACAAGAAATCTTCCTCAACTTCAAAGAAACACCGGATGGCAAATCAGGTAGGAGAATTTCCCACTTATAAGGGCATTATCAATTTTTATTTACCAATATATGGAACAGAACACGCAAGTTACCTGGTGAATTAATTGGTAAAAGCTATTCTGGCCATTTGTTCCTGGTTCACCAAAATCAATTTCACCAGTCTCAAAGGGAAGAGGCACGCCATCAATTGAAACACTTTTCCCGTTACTCTCCATGCTAACCTAAATTGAAGTAGTTTAGCAGGTGTAAGAGCATTTGCCAAGAAGCTTTCAAGACAGTACACAAGCAGCAAAAGCATAGATACATGCCTGTTGAATGTGAGGGGCAAGCTTCTCCAGAGCTTGAGAATAAGGTAAAATGGCCTGAAAAAATACAAGAAGTTTCAATGTTGTAGAAGAACAAATAAAAAGAGATTATCAGAGAACATATGAATGTAGTCACCCAAACAGACTTCGTTGTAAATAATGCACTCACTCTTGCAGGATATCCAAGAAATGAAACACATACACTCAACAAACCTAAAAGCACCTGAAGAAATGATGCAATGACATTGATCAGCATATTGATCCATATATATATCTGATAAAATATATCTAAGGTGGATCAGAATAATCTTCTAAAACATAGACATATATGTGGCCCAGATACAGGGAAATGAAACCCAGGATTCAGGAAGTCAAATATTTGCAGATCCAGACAAACAGGAATTTATGAAGTATGTAAATTCAGCATCTCTACTGTCATTCCTAGAAGCCATGGGTTTGAACCTAGCCAGGGTCACAAGTACAAGAACACTTAACTAGACCATTCGCCATCCCTATGGCTGATATAACAAGTGCTAAGAACAAACATGTGGAGAATTTCATGTTAGGAGGCACATACAGGAATGTTTAGCTCCAACGGTGCTGAATAGAAGTGTTGATCAATGCTTGAAGCTCCTTTCAGGAACCTTCAAGTACAAAGTGGAAAATATATAAATTCAGGAAACTGCCGACCAAAATAAGACCATGATGCCAAAATAAATTGCCAAACTGTGGATGGTGTGAACTTAAATCATAGCATAACTACTAAGAAAATCACCATAGGTCAGAAAAGCCTTAGAGACTGTTGCGATGTTAAAAGCTTGCTGCCAACCATGACAATTTTTATTTTATTTTTTTTAAATTTTTGGGAACAGCAACTTCATAGCATATGTTGCTGGAATATCCTGAGTGTACCTTTCTTTTTTGCACATTTCTATTTTATTTTTGGTGTGTGTGTGTGTGTGTGCACACGCGTTGGTGTGTGAGGTAATGGCCTTTTATTTTCATCTAGTTTACAAGCAGAAAGCGTCCTCATATTGTCATCCTTTATTCTAAACGACAAAATCAGAACAGACCAAAGCCAACAGATAAAAAATACAACCGGCCAATGAAGCTAACCATCTTTCCCTCTGCTGGAGCATCCAGCAGCAGCCCACACACAGTGGTTGTTTAGCATCAGCAAAGCAAATGTCCTGAGTGTACCTTTCTTTTTTGCACATTTCTATTTTATTTTTGGTGTGTGTGTGTGTGTGTGTGCACATGCGTTGGTGTGTGAGGTAATGGCCTTTTATTTTCATCTAGTTTACAAGCAGAAAGCGTCCTCATATTGTCATCCTTTATTCTAAACGACACTCAGAAGTCTAGGATAGTCAGGCAAGGCAAATGTATTGTCATATAGTTCACAGAGATTGGGACAAGTAACAATACTAATAATTTCACTTCCCTAACCAGAATTTAACTACTCAACTCATCTATGGGGACATTTTTATTTGTGCAAGAATGAAGTGAAACCATCCACCATGAGTCATGAAAACTAAACTTGCAATTAGGACTATTAAAGTAATGCCATATGAAGAAAACTGGAGCCTGCAAAGAGCATCTAAAGTTTCACCTTTGTGTACAGATTTTGTAAGTAGACAAGTACGGTTTTTTGCGAAGTTAATTTTTTAAACATTTCTTTCATTACAATACAAATTTTCCTTCAAGAAGCTAAAAGAAAAATAAGATTTTATACATCAAATTCTATATATCATTTTCAGATAGAGTGTTAAATTAAATCCAAAATAATGAAAAAATAACTTCTGCAAATAAATAAATGTGCAAGTTACTGTACTTCTCAACAACTGTGAATCCATATTGGAGAGATAAAGGTAACACTCCAAAAGCGCTGCAAACTGCAAACAGTGGTCAAATATCAATCAGGCATCATATTAACCACATGATTTATGAAAAAAAGGCAATGTACTTACCACTATGTCGACCACCAACCCAAGCCCAGAACGCAAAAGCATTATTAGGGTCAATCCCAAACTTTTCTACAAGCTGCACAGAAGATTAAACAATACAGACACTATAAGAATTTTCACTATTGGCGACTAAATTTTTAGTCGCCAAAAGTCAATTTTTAGTCGCCAATGGCTTTTAGCAACTAAATTATTTGGTTGAAGCATTAGTCGCTGAAGAATTGTTGGGAAAGGTAATTGGCGACTAAAATTATTTTATTAGCCAAATGTATTCAATTGCCGACTAAATTTTTAGTCGCGAAAAGGTTGGAAATAAAATTAAATAGCACATTTTCGGCCACTAACGGTTTAGTCGCCTAAAGTGTTATGTTTTTGGCTACTAAAATTTTAGTCGGCAAATAGTTTGTGTTTTGGCTACTAATATTTTAGTCGGCAAAAGTGTTATGTTTTGACTACTAAAAGTTTAGTCGCCTAAAGTGTTATGTTTTTGGCTACTAAAATTTTAATTGGCAAATAATTTGTGTTTTGGCTACTAATATTTTAGTCAGCAAAAATGTTATGTTTTTGGCTACTAAATTTTTAGTAAGCAAAAATTTTTTTATTCTTCAGCTTTTGTTTTTAGCTGCGAAATATTTTAGTCGCCAAATGTTTGATTTTTTGTTTGCTACAAAACTTTTAGTTGCCAAATGTTTGATTTTTTTTTTGCTACAAAATTTTTGATTGCCAAATGTTTGATTTTTCTTTTCGCTACAAAGCTTTTAGTCGTCAAATGTTTGATTTTTTTTTTTTTTTGCAACAAAACTTTTAGTCGGCCAAACTATTTTCCCAATTTCTTTTTAGCTACTAATTATGTAGTCGCCAAAAACATGATTTTATGTTTTATCACAAAATTATAATTTCTCCACAACCTGTCAATATTCCATGCAACCTGTAATACGTATGTAAACAAAATAATACGTATACTATCAATCATTCCACAATCTGCATCCATATACAAAAAATGAATGACTTTAAATGTCAAAGTTCATACAAACCAACTATTGTCCAAACTAAAATAATAATTCCATACAAAATATAGAATCATACAAAAATCAAAGCCCTCTATATACAAAAAATACTTTCACAAAAGCAGAGGAAGACATAGTTAGCAGGATTATACAAAAGTGTAAGTGTCCTCCATAAAAAAAAATGTAGACTATCCACAAGTCCACGCCAAAAGCCATCTACAAAAAATAAAAAAACAATTGCATCCATTACAAAATATCAATTCATTCAGACATAAGAAAAAGGTTGTAATAACATGCATTTTAGGTAGAACAATCTATAAAAACATTTTTTCGAAATACAATCAAATGTATGTATCATGAAAGATTTATTTCAAACTTAATTTCAATTTACAAATAATACAATTTTTAGGAGCATACCTCTTCATAAAATAAATTTTTATGAGTAGAATGTTTTGGTAGTAAATTTATTTAAACTCTTCTTCATTCGCATTTTCCTAATCAAAGTAAAATGATTGAGTAATCCACGGGGTTATCTCCATAACCATATTATGCTTTCTTAACACGTTTAACACCCAAATGACCACCGTGTAGATGAAACAATGGAATCATTTACAATGAAAACGTTGAACATTTATTGGATGTCAAACTCTCCCTTTTTCGAATAAGTTTAAGTCGTTTCCGGCTCTAACTCCCAAACTACATGTGCTAATGACATTCCGTCTGTTGCCACAAGTCCTATATGTCACGGGAAAGCTCGCCGTGACATCCCTACGGTGGTTCTGAGGCTGTTTCAATTTTTCGCTCCCTCAACGCCCTTTTTCGGTTAAGCTTAAGGCGTTTTTGGCTCTCTAACTCCCAACCTACACGTGCTAATTACATTCCGTCTGTTGTCATAGGTCCTATTTGTCACAGCGAAGGTGGTCGTGACATCCGTACGGTGGTTCGGGGGCTGATTCGCATTTTTGCCCCCTTAACGCCCTTTTTCGGTTAAGTTTAAGGCGTTTTTGGCTCTAACTCCCAACCTAAACGTGCTAATTACATTCCGCCTGCTGTCACAGGTCCTATTTGCCAAAGGGAAGGTGGTCGTGACATCTGTATGCTAGTTCGGAAGCTGTTTCGCATTTTCGCCTCCTTAACGGCCTTTTTCGGTTAAGCTTAAGGCGTTTTTGGCTCTAACTCCCAACATACACGTGCTAATTACATTCCGTCTGTTGTCACAGGTCCTAATTGTCACAGGGAAGGTGGCCGTGATATCCGTACGGTGGTTCAGGGGCTGATTCACATTTTCGCCCCCTTAATGCCCTCTTTCGGTTAAATTTAAGGCGTTTTCGGCTCTAACTCCCAACCTAAACGTGCTAATTACATTCCGTCTGTTGTTACAGGTCCTATTTTCCACGGGGAAGGTGGCCGTGGCATCCCTACGGTGGTTCGGAAGCTATTTCGCATTTTCGCCCCCTTAACGCCCTTTTTCGATTAAGCTTAAGGCATTTTTGGTTCTAACTCCCAACCTACACGTGCTAATTACATTCTGTCTGTTGTCACAGGTCCTATTTGTCATGGGGAAGGTTTCCGTGACATCCGTATGGTGGTTTGAGGGCGAAATCGCATTTTCGCCCCCTTAACGCCCTTTTTCGGTTAACTTTAAGGACTTTTCGGCTCTAACTCCCGACCAAAACGTGCTAATTACATGTCGTCTGCTGTTACAGGTCTTGTTTGCCAGGGAGAAGGTGGCCGTGACATCTGTATGCTGGTTCAGAAGCTGTTTCGCATTTTCGCCCCCTTAACGCCCTCTTTCGGTTAAGTTTAAGGCATTTTCGGCTCTAACTTCCAACCTAAACGTGCTATTTACATTCCGTCTATTGTCACAGGTCCTATTTTTCACGGGGAAGGTGGCCGTGACATCCCTACAGTGGTTCGGAAGCTGTTTCGCATTTTCGCCTTCTTAACGCCCCTTTTCAGTTAAGCTTAAGGCGTTTTTGGCTCTAACTCCCAATGTACACGTGCTAATTACATTCCATCTGTTGTCACGAATCCTATTTGTCATGGCGAAGGTGGCCGTTACATCCGTACGGTGGTTCGGAGGCTGATTCGCATTTTCGTCCCCTTAATGCCCTCTTTCGGTTAAGTTTAAGGCGTTTTCGGCTCTAACTCCCAACCTAAACGTACTAATTACATTCCATCTATTATCACAGGTCTTATTTGCCACGGGGAAGGTGACCGTGACATCTGTATGCTGGGTCGGAAGCTGTTTCGCATTTTCGCCCCCTTAACGCCCTTTTTCGGTTAAGTTTAAGGCGTTTTTTGCTCTAACTCCCAACCTACACGTGCTAATTACATTCCGTCTGTTGTCACAGGTCCTATTTGTCATGGCGAAGGTGGCCCTGACATCCGTACGGTGGTTCAGGGGCTGATTCACATTTTTGCCCCCTTAACGCCCTTTTTCGGTTAAGTTTAAGGGGTTTTCAGCTCTAACTCCCAACCTAAACTTGCTAATTACATTCCGTCTGCTGTCACAAGTCCTATTTGCCATGGGGAAGGTGGCCGGGACATTTGTACACTAGTTCAGAAGCTGTTTCGCATTTTCGCTCCCTTAATGCCCTTTTTCAGTTAAGTTTAAAGCGCTTTCAACTCTAACTCCCAACCAACACATGCTAATTACATTCCGTCTGTTGTCACAGGTCCTATTTGTCATGGGGAAGGTGTCTGTGACATCCGTACGGTGGATCGGGGGCTGATTCGCATTTTCGCCCCTTTAATGCCCTTTTTCGGTTAAGTTTAATGTGTTTTCGGCTCTAACTCCCAAACTACGTGTGCTAATTACATTCTATCTGTTGTTACATGTTCTATTTGTGACAGGGAAGGTGGACGTGACATCCATACGGTGATTCGGGGGCTGTTTCGCATTTTCGCTCTCTTAACGCCCTTTTTCGATTAAGTTTAAGGCGTTTTCGGATCTAACTCTCAACCTACATATGCTAATTACATTTTGTGTGTTGTCATAGGTCCTATTCATGACAAGGAAGGTGTCTGTGACATCCGTACAGTAGTTCGGAGGTTGTTTCTCATTTTCGCCCCCTTATCGCCCTTTTTCGGTTAAGTTTAATGCGTTTTCAGCTCTAACTCCCAAACTACGTGTGCTAATGACATTCCGTCTATTGTGACAGGTCCTATTTGTCACGGGGAAGGTGGTCGTGACATCCGTACGGTAGTTCGGGGGCTGTTTCCCATTTTCGCCCCCTTATCGCCCTTTTTCAAGTAAGTTTAAGGCATGCTAATTAAGGTGTTTTGCCACAGTCCTATATGTTTTTTTTTTTTTAGTTTAAGGATGCTAACTACCCATCTCTTCACCAACCTCATCATTGACCTATGACTATCACACTCCCATAAATTTACTTAATTCTACATCTAGAATCTGACTTGAGACTGGTTCGCCCCCGGAAAGCCCTTTTTCGACTAAGTTTAGAGCATATTCAGCTCTAACTCCCAACCTACAGGTCCGAATTACATTCCGTCAGTTGTCACAAGTCCTATTTGTCATGGGGAAGCTATCCGTGAGAGCCACACTGTAGTTTGGAGGCTGTTTTGAATTTTCACCTTCGGAAAGCCCTTTTTTGACTAAGTTTAGGGCATATTCGACTCTAACTCCCAACCTACAAGTCCGAATTACATTCCATCAGTTGTCACAAGTCCTATTTATCATGGAGAAGCTGTCCGTGAGAGCCACATGGTGGTTCGGGGGCTATTTTGAATTTTCTCTCCCGAAAGCCTTATTTGGACTAAGTTTAGGCGTATTCGGCTATAACTATGGTAAAGCCATAAACATTCCTCGTGGGTTGATTGGGTGCCAAATGAGAAGTTAATGCATGTGAAATCTGATTCAGAATTTCTGAAAGAAAATTTTCGTTCTCCAAGTTAAGGGAGCTCCTAGTTGGTAGTAAAAGCTATAGAGGAAGAGCACCACATAAACAGACAGCCAAATTCTCTCCTGAATTTTTTTTTTAATGTCAGCAATACCCCATATTTTCAGATTTATTATTATTATTAATTTTTTTTAAAAAGGTCTAAAATCATATGAAATTATAGTAAATAATGACGAAGCTGTTCTTCTTTGATTAATGTTATATGTCAAAAGTGATCCTTAATAGAAACCTGTTGGAAATTTCACCAGAAATTTGTAAATAAAGTACACTGCAACAAAAAAATTCACTTAAAACAGAAACTCACGCATGGAAAATAGGAGGCAAGCCCCAATATGGAATCTACAAAGACTTTTCATATGAACTATATCAAGAAACATTTAACTGAAGCTCAAGATTATTTTTTCTTTCTATTTTTATTCACAAGAAGCTCATAATTTATTTTTAAGCAACTCAATTACCAAATCGGCTCATTTTCGCCCCCTTATCGCCCTTTTTCGGTTAAGTTTAATGCGTTTTCAGCTCTAACTCCCAAACTACGTGTGCTAATGACATTCCGTCTATTGTGACAGGTCCTATTTGTCACGGGGAAGGTGGCCGTGACATCCGTATGGTAGTTCGGGGGCTGTTTCCCATTTTCGCCCCCTTATCGCCCTTTTTCAAGTAAGTTTAAGGCATGCTAATTAAGGTGTTTTGCCATAGTCCTGTATGTTTTTTTTTTTTTAGTTTAAGGACGCTAACTACCCATCTCTTCACCAACCTCATCATTGACCTATGACTATCGCACTCCCATAAATTTACTTAATTCTACATCTAGAATCTGACTTGAGACTGGTTCGCCCCTGGAAAGCCCTTTTTCGACTAAGTTTAGAGCATATTCAGCTCTAACTCCCAACCTACAGGTCCGAATTACATTCCGTCAGTTGTCACAAGTCCTATTTGTCATGGGGAAGCTATCCGTGAGAGCCACACTGTAGTTTGGAGGCTGTTTTGAATTTTCTCCTTCGGAAAGCCCTTTTTCGACTAAGTTTAGGGCATATTCGACTCTAACTCCCAACCTACAGGTCCGAATTACATTCCATCAGTTGTCACAACTCCTATTCGTCATGGAGAAACTGTCCGTGAGAGCCACATGGTGGTTCGGGGGCTATTTTGAATTTTCTCTCCCGAAAGCCCTATTTGGACTAAGTTTAGGCGTATTCGACTATAACTATGGTAAAGCCATAAACATTCCTAGTGGGTTGATTGGGTGCCAAATGAGAAGTTAATGCATGTGAAATCTGATTCAGAATTTCTGAAAGAAAATTTTCATTCTCCAAGTTAAGGGAGCTCCTAGTTGGTAGTAAAAGCTATAGAGGAAGAGCACCACATAAATAGAAAGCCAAATTCTCTCCCGAATTTTTTTTTTAATGTCAGCAATACCCCATATTTTCAGATTTATTATTATTATTAATTTTTTTTAAAAAGGTCTAAAATCATATGAAATTATAGTAAATAATGACGAAGCTGTTCTTCTTTGATTAATGTTATATGTCAAAAGTGATCCTTAATAGAAACCTGTTGGAAATTTCACCAGAAATTTGTAAATAAAGTACACTGCAACAAAAAAATTCACTTAAAACAGAAACTCACGCATGGAAAATAGGAGGCAAGCCCCAATATGGAATCTACAAAGACTTTTCATATGAACTATATCAAGAAACATTTAACTGAAGCTCAAGATTATTTTTTCTTTCTATTTTTATTCACAAGAAGCTCATAATTTATTTTTAAGCAACTCAATGCCCAAACCGGCTTCTGAAACTTCACTTTGTTAAAATCTTTAGGTTCTGTTTGTGTGGAAAAAATATATCTAAACTACCTAATAAAGCAAACACCAAATTTAATTTGCTGTCCTAAAGCCTTACAAATTTTACACCAAACATAATTATCTTCTACTTTGGTCTAGGGATTGAGTTCTTCTTTAGATGGTTTTCGCAGAGTATCCACAGCAGATCATTACTTTCGTGCAAATGCCCACTTCAGGACACAAAATGCAAAAGGAGTGGCAACCTTAGATTGCCTTCACTCAGTTCAACACGGTTCGGGTTTCATTAAAAGTATAGGTAATTTTGCTCAATTACTCCTCAGAAGGTCAAAACAAAAGTACAAAACCCAAAAAGGAAAGAAAGACATGGACCAGGCATGTGATATTATCGACTTAAACTATATTGAAAGGCTTCAAGCAAATTGCAAAAGATCTGATACAGATCAAAGATTAACTACATGGACCAAACACGTGACAAAGTACATAAACTATCTTAAAAGGCTTCAAAATTGCATATGGTTTATGAAAGATTAATCACAAGGACCAAACATGTGATGAAGTATCACATAAACTAACTAGCCAATAACAACTATCTTGATTTTCATTTTTCCTTCAGAATGTTTAAGATGATGCAGTTGAAACTTACATTAAGTGACCAAAGTATAAGGTTCTTTCTGTGCCAGTAATGTTGATTTCCAGTTCCATAACAAAAACTCATCTCTAAACCATAAGGATGCTCGACCTCCTAATACTTACATTGCTATGATTAACAACAAAAAATTACCAAAAAGATGTATAATTATCTGCACAAAAATAAGGAAAAGATTTTCCCACCTTTATATTTGAACAAGGCAACTTTACAACAATTGTTTCCCTTCATCCTTTCCATATATACGCTGAAGTTCATGTGTAGCAGCTAGGAACGATTCTGGAGCAGAGAAAAAAGAATGCAGGTGAGCAGGAAGGCATTGTATCAAAACATATTGAACTGTCACTCACTGGTAACTAAACCAAATAACTTGAATTATCTTTCCAAAGACGGAAAGATTTGTGAATGTTGTTTAACGGTGGGCACATTTTCCTCATATCCACTTTGGGCTAAAGCTGGATGGCAACCAGTAAGCAAAGTTGGAGCATTCAAATGCAATAGAGGGGACTCAAAAACTGTTAAAATGTACCTACACCTACCACCACCTACTACCGCCGGACCTCTACACATGCCTTCTCTCTGTCTCTCTCTGAAAACCACAGTTTCTTTCTTCAATTTCTCCTCATATTCTTCATCAGTGGCGGCATAATCATCCATATCAATTACTTTAAAGTTGTTTTTTCGTATCTCGCTTTACCTTCCTCAGCAAGTGCCTTGGCGAATCCTTCTGCGGTACCAGTCTGCGTGCCAAAGAAGATGACGACCTTCGTCTTTCCGTCATCGACCTCCGGTTCCAGCTCCGGCTCCGTCGTCACCATCAGAGGTTTCAAAGGCTCGGCCATCTTGGAAGACTTCTGGCCGGCCGATCGCTGCCACACCAGCACCACCACGCAGCCGATCAGCACCGCCACTGACGTTGTGAGAATCATCAGTAGCTCCCGATTCTCCACCAGCGCCGCCAGAGGCGAATCGCAAAAACCTAGTGGATTCTATTAAAAAAACAATGGTACGTTGCGAATAAAATCAAGTTTCTCTATGTATAACACGCGTAAATCTGAGATTAATTAAGTCTCCTAATCAACCTTATGTATTCCTCTACTTCACTTGTATTCTGTGAAATGACTAAAGGGTTTTTTTTTTTTTTTATTTGTCTTAATTAGGAAGTTTGTAGTATAATATTGATTTGGAAACCCAAGGAGTACCCTTCCTCTATTTAATCTCCTCTTTTCTCTATTATTCGTCTTTCCCTCATCTTTCTCTACTATTCTATTTTTATGTTCTTTGCAACTCTCCTCTTTCTCAACTTCATCGTCTGTGGGAATCCTGTGCATTCTCTCCACAACAGTTTGCACTATCTTTGACTCATACAGACTACAGCAGCTACTCTAAAGCCTATGGCCTGGCTATGCTTTGCTGTATAATTTCCCACTCTAAACTATTTTGCACTAATCTTTAGGCTGGAGTTTGAATTTTTTTTTATTTTTTTCATTAGATTTCTATCTGTTTGGCAATTGAATGAAGCATAACTAAAGGCAGAGTATGATGCTATTTACATATATTTCCACTATCAAACAACTCTGTTAGTAACATCATGCTAAATTAATTTATAGGGCCATTGCCTACCATTTAGGTCAGCTCATCCTCTCAAACTAATCATTTAATCTACAATCTTCTTTTATGTCCATGTAGCAAACTAATGACTTAAGCCATTCTTCCATACCTCCATGAACGGAATAAAATTATGATTTGCCAAGTTTGGTTGGTTGCACAAAGAGCAAAGCAAGTTCACCTATTGGATGCTGAGATGTGATATTTCACCAAGGCTGATCTTTTGCCAATTCACACTGACCTCATGAATATTCTCAATTTTACACATGCAAAATACATAATGACCTATGCTTAACCCAATTTCAAAGAAAAAATAACCAAGTTATAATCCACACAAAAAGAGCCAAACCATGAGGCAACAGAATTACCTGAAGTTGATTGATGATTTGATCCAATTTGAATTCCTGATAACAAAATCGTGATACTTTCCATCACAAAAGATATAGAAAAAAAGAAAGATGGATATAGGGGAAAGAAATTCAAAACACATAGTTTCAAAGATATGATAGCCAACCTGCTCCCGAAGAGCCTCTCTCAGATAAGACACAAGATTTGTTCTTGATGATTCAACTGCCGTTAGCTATTCAATACAGTCTCTCAATATACCATGCTGCCCTTTAAGCTACTCCACAATGCCAGAGCCATTGAGTTTTCCTGCTCAAATGAACATAATAATAATAATAATAATAATAATAATAATAATAATAATAATAATAAAGACGGTTGAGAGAGAGAGAGAGATGCTACAGGATATAGCAACCAATGTATCATAAGCGAGATGCTAAACAAGAGAGAGAGAGAGATAAGAATAATACTGAACTGGCCCAAAAACCCTAGCCTCCTGCCACATTGCTACATTTTTCAACATGGCTTCAAGCAACAAATTAATATGTTGAAAAATATAGTATTGTAAACTCAGGAATTCAATCTATACCAGATGACCAAAACCATGTTCCCATTCCCCAAGTATATTGTTTAGGCACCAAACAAGTGAGGAGATTTAATAAGGTTCTATAGCTGCAGTTTTTATACCACTATTCTTTATATATTCTTACCTCCATTCCAACCGTCGCTATAGTTGTTAGATTCACACAGATTTATCACTTCCCTCAACTCTCATTCTTGACTTGCATCACATTGAAACTCTCTTATGCTGTGTTTGGTTGAGGGATTTGAGGAGGGATTTGGAAAGGGAAATGGAAAAGGTAGGTGTAATGTGAAAAAAATATACCTACATAGATTCACACAGATTTATCACTTCCCTCAACTCTCACTCTTGACTTACATCACATTGAAACTCTCTTAGCCTCTCTAGTGACATCCTTGGTGTTGTCACCTTACCTTCACTCTCTAAAATGCTTAAAATACTTTCAATGTATATAGCCATATAATTTACCATAATTGTTTCTTATTTACATCCATCATTAAGATTCAATTTACACATCAGGATTTTAAATTTTGGTTATAGTTACTCGTGAATATATCAACTGATACTATTATTTAAATTAATGCAATTACATACACTACTCTTTTTTCTGTACACCACAATGTATATGATTGGGGGCTCAAACTTCTATATTTTACTGGATTTTGATTCTTGAATCAACATCACTGGTGAGGAAACCAACGAGATGAATGCTTTGAGGGCCCACAACTGAGAAGGTTACTTCATCATTACTAGTTAACTCCAAATTCAACTTGCATGAGCACTTGTTCCCTACCATTAGTGAACACAGGAACACTGCACACTTATCTTTTGGAGCACCTTTAAGTATGTTTCTCCTTGTAGATGAACCAAGGCCTAGTGTTGCCTGTTTGATCACATCAATCAAAACCAAATTTCAATAGATTGGTTTATTATTGTGAAAATTTGTGTTAAATTGTTTAGTGTAACTTTTACTTATAGTTTATCAAATATTAAATAATTTAAATAAGTTAAAAAAATTGATTATCTGAAAATTAGTGAAGGGATACTTTGACTTATATTTTTTGATAATCAACTTTTAACTTATAATAAACTACACCAAATAGGCCCAATTAAACAGAGAAACCTTCTCGTTAGGTTAAGTTTTAGTTTTCTGTTTATATTTTCATTTTGTTTGTAAATTATAAACAGAAAACTTAATTAGTATACTATTTTTGCTTTTAAAAAAAATGAAACTGATGCTCAAATTTTCAAAAAATTTTGAAAGAAAAAAAAGTGTTCTACTTGTTTTCAAAATCAGTTTTCACTCTTTTCTCCCTCCATCCTTCCCTTACCACCTCTCTTAGTCAAAATGTACAAAAAAGAGGCCAATTCAGCTAACTCAATTGATTATCTATTTTATTAACTATAACATCTAAGTTCTGAAATATTGGGTTTTTTTTTAGAGAGTAAAACATGGATTTTTTTTTTATAGGCCTTGTTTTTATATCAAAATTGGGTGTCTATTACAAAACAAGAGATAAAATTGAAACATATATATATACATAAATTTTTTAAAAATTAAATAAAACATTGAGAAATTTGGGATCTAAAACCAGAGTTTTGTTGACTATATATGGTTGAATCCAAGAAAGAGGCATTAGTTTGAGCAAGAAAAATAAACCTGAGATATGTGAAGCTTTACTCCCTGATCAAGTTGGCAAGTGTATGGTGAGCCAGGTTTGACTTTAATCCCTGTAAAATAAAATAAGAAAATGATATAGAAGATCATTTTCTAAACCCACTTTCTAGATGTGTAAGTAAGATAATTAGTTAATAATTAAAGAAGACATGAGAGACAGAGAGATTTGTCTTAAATATTCTAATAGACTGCCACATCATTAATTGAAAAGTAAGTCTAATTTTTTTTTGCCTGAGTAACATTACCCAATAAAATAATATTGATTTGTAACTGAAAAAAATATATATCAAAAAGGTTTCAAGATCTGTGTAGAATTTAGTGGAAGTGCATAAATGTACGGTGCAGGCGTTAGGTTTGTTGGATCAATAAGACTACAAGTATTAATGTTAAGTTTGGATTATGATTTTTGATAAAAGTTTGGAATGAAAAGGAAAGCAAAATGGAGTAAAACATCAACTTATGTTTCAGTTGCAGTCAAGACAACCATCTACCCTTCATCTTTATCCAAGTATCAGCCAATTCTAATGTATATTTCCCAAATATGTGCCAATATAAGCAGGGTCCACTTCAGAAATAGTGAGGTATAGTAATTCAAGTAAAAGCAGTGCCTCAAAACAATCATCTCAAGTACATGGCAACACCTCTATATATTGCATCACTAATCGATACACCATATTGCACAAATCCAAAACCTTAGCTTGTGAAAACATTAAATATCTTATCCAGTGATTCTCCCCAATAAAATAAACAAATAATACTAATAGTAACAAAAACATGACTATGTAATAACTACAAATTTTAAACAAATGAAATTAAAAACTAACAATCAAAGTGTGGAAGTCATCCAACCTTTTTTGGATTAGCTATAGACAAATTTTGTTGCAACATTGAATACTGGATATCCACAACTGCCTTTGATGGTTTTCCTTGTACTGAAACAAACCAGAAAAGTTAAAATTAGTATATGGAGACAGGTATCTTCAATAGAAAACAAGAATAAATTTAGCAAAAACAACTACTGAAGTCCAGAAAATACGTTAATGTACAGCTAAACAACTTACTAAAATATTATTGGCAAAATTGTCAAGCAAATGAAAGAAGCCATGCTCACCAACAGTGAGCATCCCATTCATGAATCCAAAGACCTATAAAATGCAACAACAAAAATGAAATAGATTAAATTTCATAACAACATAACTGGTCATCCAAGGACCTTTAATGTTTCGATCCAAACCCTAGAAGTAGATTCAGATCATAAAATAAGAAGAAACAAAGAGAGAGGAGATCTGAGAGAGAAAGGAAGAGAACGAAAAGATTACCAGATAAAGAAATTGAGGGAGTTCGTACCGTTGGAGGTCTCTTATTCAGACGACCATGGCAATTTATAGAGCGAGAAACAGAGCGAAATCAAGAGAGGAATATCGAGAGCAAAATCGATAGAGAGAGAGAGAGAGAGAGCGAGATCGAGACAGATTTGGGAAATAAGAGTGAAAGGTGATAGGGCAAGTTTTATACGATTTGGGGACACGGCAAGCTCGAGAACGAGAACGAGAGAGAGCGTGAGACTAAGAGAAAGAGTGAGATATAACCTGGTATTGCGGCAGTGGCGGTAGTGATTTGCAACGATGGCGATTTGTGACGGTGGCGATGGCAATGTGCGACGTCGAATGCTTCCCGGTGGTAAGCGCCTGTGGTGTAGTGAGGTGAGGTGAGATTTGGCGGTGATTGATTGTGTGTATATAAGAGAGAGAGAGAGAGAGAGAGAGAGAGATACCGGGGAGGGCACCAATAGGTTTTTATTTTCCCACTAAAATTTTGGCACCTTTGGCGACTAATTTCAAATTTTGTCGGCAAAAATGTAAGTAATAACGACTAAATTATTTAGTAGCCAAATCAACTCAAACGGCGACTAAAATGTTAGTCCCCAAAACTCAATATACAACGACTGAAATTCTTTTTTGTCACTGAAAATAAATTTTTGGCGACCAAAATTTTAGTCGCCAAAGGTAAAAAAATAATTTTTTATTTTCTATTCGGCGACTAAATATTTTAGTAGCCAAAACTCAACATACGGTGACTAAAATTCTTTTTGTCACTGAAAATAAACTTTTGGCGACCAAAATTTTAGTCGCCAAAGGTAAAAAATAATTTTTTATTTTTCATTCGGCAACTAAATGGTTTTAGTAGCCAAAACTCAATATACGGCGACTAAAATTCTTTTTTGTCGCCAATTCTTGCAATTTTTAGCGACTAAATTTTTTTTTAGTCACCAATAACCAATATACCCCTACTAAAAAAATTAGTAACTAAATATTGTCCTTTTGCCGAAAAAAAAAAAATTTTAGTCACCAATTCCATAACTTTTGGTGACTAAATTTTTTTTAGTTGCTAATTTAGTCGCCAAAGGTGCATTTTGTTGTAGTGAGATGAAGTCATATAAGTGAAGTTAAACATTTAGTGGATCAATTTTTATCTAATCATCTTTCAACAATTGAATTTCTTTCAATAGCATATTTGCCAAAATTATATGGAAAGGACAGAGTTGACTACTGATACAAAGAGCACAACACATGTTTTATATAATCAAGAATATTCAGCAAATAAACAATCAATATCAAAATTCTCATGTATATGCATTTAAAACAAAGAAGCACGATGGATTAGGAAATGTATGCCAACACGAAAGGAAATCGTTAATGAAATTGGAAAATGTTTTTGTGTATTGTAGAGAGATGTCAAAACGGTCAAAACAGCACAATGCATTACTCATTCCCTCTAAACTTCTACATCATTAATCCCATTTGACCTCATCAAGTGTAATTTTAATGCAGGGTCATTTGTTATACATGAATCAGATCCAATAAAATTGTACTATCAAAGAAAGACGGGTTGTTTACCTATTTATATAAAGTAAATAACTAGATAAACATAACAAGGCCAATGAAGTGAACAAAGCACATGTTAGAATAGGAAATTATATTACCATATTCTATTTTGATTTGACGTAATGGGCTGTAATGAGCTGGCCCATAATTCTTGCCTCATGGCATTATGCTTTATTCTTAATATAAAAGGGATGAGGCTTCACTCATTCTCTAACCTTTTCTCTTTTCTAAAATCTTCATGGTATCAGAGCCACTCAGACCCTAGCTACCCTATTACACACATACACAGTAGCCATACCCAGCCTCTCTTCTCTTCTCCGACAACCTCCCTTTTTCACCTTCTCACCCCAACAATTAACCCAGCCCAAACCAAGCCTAGGCCTCTGTCGGCTTGATCTCGTGCATCCAGCCTTCTGTTAGCAATGTAATGTTTTCAAACTAAAATACGCAAAACACAAAAAAAAAAATGTAAAAACAAACATGTAGTAAAAAAAAATAAAAAATACATGAGTTCTTAATTCTTTATACTTTCATCGTGGTAGGTGTGCCTTTCCTTCTACTATTATCTTTCGAGTTGTGATTGTCATTGTGTTTGAGAGTTAAATAGTAGAGTATCCATAGCAAATTCTCTTAGTGAGTCCACTACCTCTCAGCCACCTAAGAGCAAGAGTTTTATTATACCACCTACTATGACTGATAACCTCAACCCTGTCCTTAAGATCACCACCTCTCTAGTCAATGATCAAAATTATCTAGCCTAGTCGCAAGAACAGATGAAAGATGGGATATGTTGATGGAAAGATACAGGCACCCAATACCATAGATCCTAGTTATGACCAATGGGAGATCACCAACTCCCTCATCATAGGTTGGTTGATACATTCTATGATACCTGAGATTAGAGAAGGCTACTTGTCTATGGACACTGCCCAAGATATTTGGGAGGCTGTAACTACTACTTACTCTAGGAAAGGAAACTTCTCACAGGCTTTCGAGTTACGTCGCTCCATTGAACAGTCGGTCCAAGGTGAAATGACTATCCTCCAGTATTTTACCTTCCTTAGCAATGGGTGGAAGCGGCTTGATCACCTTCAGGATTATAAGCCTATCTGTCCCACTAATTCTGCTGGTTACCAAGGGTTTGTGGCGCAAGAGCGAGTCTTCAAGTTCTTGGAAGGCCTAAATGTGGAGTAAGATCCGGTTTAGAGCAGAGTACTTGGCATGGATGTGCTTCCTTCTCTCCAGGACACCTTTGTTTTTGTACAAAATGAGAAGAGTCGCCACTCTGTGATGCTTCCTTCTGCTACTACTGATCGCTCAGCCTTGGTTTCTGCACCCCCTCGCGATACTCGTGATTCTCGTCCTTCCTCTGAGAAGGATAATCTTTTTCTATAACTACTACCATAGACCTCGACACACATGAGAGACTTGTTGGAAGTTGCAAGGGATGCCCTCTGGTGGCCAAAGAGACCGTCCTAGTACTCAAGGGGGTCGGTCTGGTCAGTCTAGAAGCTGCGGGGCCAATGTTTGGGCACATCTTTCAGACACTGTTGAGCCACCATCTCCATTTGTCTCCCCTACTGTTAATGTTTCAGGGTTATCTGTCTCGAATTATAAGATTGCTCTTCGCCACTTACTAAACCGTTGAGCCTCCAGTTCTGCTACAGGTGCACCATCTTCTTCCTTTGCCAATTCAAGTAACTTGGTTGCTTCCCCATGTGCATTGCTATCTTATACAACTGTACCGTGGATTATTGATTCTGATGCTTCCAACCATATGTCTGGCTCCTCTAATTTATTCTCTAAGTATAACCCCCCATCAGGTCAGGAAAAAATGCGTATTGCTGATGGTACTATTTCCTTTGTGTCAGGCAAAGGTTTAATTCATGCCACATTTTCCCTTCATTTGTCCTCTGTACTCCATGTTCCCAATTTTAGTGTTAATCTTCTATCTTTCAGTCGTATTACTCGTGATTTAAATTGTAATGTGACGTTTTTTTTCCTGATCATTGTTGTTTTTAGGACCTTATCACGAAGAAGAGGATTGGCAGTGGTAGAGAGGAACATGGTCTCTACATTCTAGATCAAACAAACAAGCTGGCTCATTCATCTATCCAATCATCATCCACCAAGGACGACATTTAGCTGTGGCACCGTCGCTTAGAACATCCCTTCTTTTTATTACTTCAACACTTATATCCTTCTATTTTTGAGAAAAATAGTGTGTCTGATTTTCAATGTGAGTCATGTCGACTTGGAAAACAACACCGAGACTCTTTTGCTCCGTCTTTTAATAAAAGTTCAGTTCCATTTTCTTTGATTCATTCTGATGTATGGGGTCCATCCCGTTTTGTGTCTTTAAAAGGTCAAAAATGGTTTGTTACTTTCATCGATGATTGTTTCAGGGCCACTTGGGTATATCTGATGAAAGATAAGAGTTTGGTATTTTCTGTGTTTCAAAACTTTCATAAAATGGTTTGTACTCAGTTTGGGCTGGTTGTCCAGATTCTACGTTCTGATAATGAAGAGGAATATATTGACTCTGGTCTTGCCAATTATTTCGCCACTCATGGCACTATACACCAAACTTCATGCACTAATACTCCTCAATAAAATGGTGTTACAGAACGAAAAAATTGCCATCTCCTCGATATGGCCCGTTGTCTATCCTTTGAGATGCGGGTTCCTCGTTCCTATTGAGGGGAAGCGGTTCTCAATGCTACTTATTTGATTAATCGTCTACCTACCCAAGTCCTTCACAAACAAAATCCTCTTCAAGTTTTGTTCGGGTCCACCTCTTCCGAGTTCTACATTTCTCCTAAAACCTTTGGCTGTGTTTGCTTTGTCCATAATCATTCACTCACTCGTGGTAAATTAGATCCTCGGTCTCTTAAGTGTATTTTTCTGGGTTATTCTGCCACCCAAAATGGGTATAAGTGTTATCATCCTCCCACTCGCAAATGGTTTATCTCCATGGATGTCACCTTCTTTCAGTCTTAGTCTTCCTTTCTCTCCTCCCCCGTGTCACAGTCATCCCTTTAGGGGGAGCCTTGGTGTGAAGAGATTGTTCCACTACCGCCAGTGATTGAACAGCTTGCAGATGATGTACCGGCAGTTGTTGTGGAAAATGAAGCAAGCAAAGACAAAGTTTATGTCAGGGACAAGGATAGACAAAAAGTCACCTGGATGAAAGAGACTACTTTCCTTTCTATACTGTCAACTTCTTCTCCGATTAAGTGTCCAGAGTCATCCTCCTCTCCTGAAAACCAGGTAATTCTGATCCTAATGCTCCTATTCCTAAGTTTTCAGATCTTGATGTTCTCAGTGCTAATAGGAAGGGGGTTAGGTCATGTACTCAGCATCCGATTACTAATCATGTCTCTTATTCTAATCTGTCTTTCTCATATAAAGCCTTTCTATCTAAAATTTCTTCTGTGAGTCTACCTACCAATTTTCAAGATGCTCTCTCTATTCTTGAATGGAAACATGCCATGATGGAGGAGATGAGAACTCTCAGCAAGAATGGCACTTAGGAGTTAGTGAAGTTATCTAGAGGCAAAAATTCAGTTGGGTGTAAGTGGGTGTACACTGTAAAACACAAAGTTGATGGTTCCATAGAACGGTACAAAGCAAAACTGGTTGCTAAGGGCTTCACTTAGACTTATAGGATAGATTACCAGGAGACATTTGCACCAGTAGCTAAGATGAACTCTGTGAGAATACTACTCTCTCTTGCAACAAATTTGGTTTGGCCACTTCATCAGTTTAATGTGAAGAATGCCTTCCTTCATGGAGACCTAGCAGAAGAGGTCTATATGGATATTCTCTCTGGTTTTGCAGATGCTAAGTCCAAAGGTAAAGTATGCAGGCTCCGGAAGTCACTTTATGGGCTAAAGTAATCTCCTAGGGCTTGGTTTGAAAGGTTTGCTCAAGCTATGCTGAGATATGGGTTCAAGCAAAGTCAAGCTAATCACACCTTAGTTGTGAAACACTCTTCACATGGTAAAACCACAGCTCTTATTGTTTATGTTGATGATATAGTTTTGACAGGAAATGACGTTGAGGAGATCCCTCGATTGAAGGAATACTTAGCCAAGGAGTTTGAAATCAAAGACTTGGGTACTTTGAAGTATTTCTTAGGCATTGAAGTAGCTAAGTCCGAGGATGGTATCTTCATATGTCAGAGAAAGTATGTACTTGACTTGCTAAAGAAAACTGGGATGCTTGGAGGTAGACCATGTGATATACCTCTAGAACCGGGCCAGAAACTAAGCGAGGAGCAACAGGGAGAGCCAGTGGACAGGGGGAGATATTAGAGACTAGTGGGTAAGCTCATATACTTATTTCACTCCCGTCCAGATATTGCCATTACAGTGAGCATGGTTAGCCAGTTTATGCATGCTCCTAGAACTTCCCACTTAGAGACTGTTATGAGAATCCTGAGGTACTTAAAGTCTTCTCCAGGAAAAAGGTCTCTATTTCTCAAAACATGGACATCTCGGTGTGGAGGCATTTATTGATGTGGATTAGGCTAGATCAGTCACTGACAAACGGTCTACTTCTGGATATTACATATTTGTTGGAAGCAACCTAGTCACATGGCGAGGTAAGAAACAGAATGTGGTTCTTAGATCTAGTGCTGAGGCCAAATTCAGGGCTATGGCTCAGGGTGTATGTGAGTTGCTATGGATTCGACTATTGTTGAAAGACTTGGGAATCCGTCAAACCGATTCCATGAGGTTGTGTTGTGACAACAAGACAGCGATCAGCATAACTCATAATCCAGTTCAACATGACAAAACCAAGCATGAGGAGATTGATAGGCACTTCATCAAGGAAAACCTCACTAGTGGCAACATATATACTCCATTTGTGAGGACTGAGGACCAACTAGCCAATGTTCTCACTAAAGGAATAGGGAGCAAACCATTTCATAATATTCTCAACAAGCTGGGCATGAGAAATATCTTCACACCAGCTCAAGAGAGAGTGTTAGAATAGGAAATTATATTACCATATTTTAATCTGATTTGATGTAATGGGCTATAATGAGCTTGCCCATAATTCTTGCCTTACGGTACTCTTGTAATTATGTTTTATTCTTAATATAAAAGGAGATGAGGTTTCACTCATTCTCTAACCTTTTCTCTTCTCTAAAATCTCACTGAAGGCAAGCTAACATGGATTCATGAATTCACCTTTAACCCAACTTGTAGCTGCACAATTAATACACAAAACATGCATGTACGAACATATGCATACTCACATATTGCAGACCATATAATTTGTTAGTAGTACTGATACATAAGCACATATGTGCATACACACATGCATGTCCAAACATATATGTGTACTTATAAAAAAAGAGGAGGTTCTCATGCGGCTCCTGCTTATAGCAGGGTCAAGAAAGAGGTATATAAGGTAGCCAACCTTACCCAAACTTTTTTGTGGTTCCATGACTAAAATATAAATGTACAGATCACATATATTGCACTAACAAAAATGTAGCATCTCCAAATTTAAACTGAATGTGGGTTCAGAAATTCCAAATTCGTGTGATTATATTCAAAACCTAATTGAATAGGAGTGTGGCCATCTTAACAACTTGCTTGGTTATTTGTCCTACCATCATCTCTTAAAAACACAAATGTGTGTGATAAAGGATTGGCTCACTGCTTATAAAATACAGTTAAACAAATTTGGCCCGCCCTTCAAGCTGACATAACTGTTTGAGGACATTTTGAAATTTCTTGACATTTTTCATTGAGTTCCAAATTCGTGTGATTATATTCAAAACCTAATTGAATAGGAGTGTGGCCATCTTAACAACTTGCTTGGTTATTTGTCCTACCATCATCTCTTAAAAACACAAATGTGTGTGATAAAGGATTGGCTCACTGCTTATAAAATACAGTTAAACAAATTTGGCCCGCCCTTCAAGCTGACATAGCTGTTTGAGGACATTTTGATATTTCTTGACATTTTTCATTGAGATAGAAGCTTCAGTCGGGTCCCCTTTGAGGAAACTTATATTATACTGAACAGGCTATGCCAATAACAAGATTTTGTTTATTTTGAAAGCCAGCTACCAATTATATGAGATGATTAGATCAAAGTGTAACCATCCAAGGGCATAGAAGCAAAAGAAAAATGGCATGCATAAACCAAAAAAAGCTTTGAATGAAAGACCCTGATAATTTATCTATTATTTTCCAGGGAAACTAATATGTTCAAACACACATGCATGTCCAAACATATATGTGTACTTATAAAAAAAGAGGAGGTTCTCATGCGGCTCCTGCTTATAGCAGGGTCAAGAAAGAGGTATATAAGGCAGCCAACCTTACCCAAACTTTTTTGTGGTTCCATGACTAAAATATAAATGTACAGATCACATATATTGCACTAACAAAAATGTAGCATCTCCAAATTTAAACTGAATGTGGGTTCAGAAATTCCAAATTCGTGTGATTATATTCAAAACCTAATTGAATAGGAGTGTGGCCATCTTAACAACTTGCCTGGTTATTTGTCCTACCATCATCTCTTAAAAACACAAATGTGTGTGATAAAGGATTGGCTCACTGCTTATAAAATACAGTTAAACAAATTTGGCCCGCCCTTCAAGCTGACATAGCTGTTTGAGGACATTTTGATATTTCTTGACATTTTTCATTGAGATAGAAGCTTCAGTCGGGTCCCCTTTGAGGAAACTTATATTATACTGAACAGGCTATGCCAATAACAAGATTTTGTTTATTTTGAAAGCCAGCTACCAATTATATGAGATGATTAGATCAAAGTGTAACCATCCAAGGGCATAGAAGCAAAAGAAAAATGGCATGCATAAACCAAAAAAAGCTTTATTTTCCAGGGAAACTAATATGTTCAAATTTGAGCTCAAAACGAAGCTTTACTCTGGACACAACCAAATTGTATAAGCAAGGGAGGCACACGCAAAAATGGCAGCCAATAGCAGTATATATGAACAAATAGATGAAATTTAGACCACAAGAAAAAACCGACCAAGCACAATAGATAAATGAAAATTATAATACCATTAGATTAGTACTGACAGCAACCATATGCGTTGCAACTGCCTGAGGCCTGAAAAAGTAACCATAGAGAGAGAGAGAGAGAGAGAGAGAGAGAATGAGCTTAGTCAATTGGGATAAGTTTTTTGAAATTATTTAAAAAGTAACCATAGAGAGAGAGAGAGAGAGAGAGAGAGAGAGAATGAGCTTAGTCAATTGGGATAAGTTTTTTGAAATTATTTCATATTTCCATAATCTCCTGACTAAACATACAATAATTTCAAAAAATTTCATCAATGTCCAGACTATTGCGAAGGATTCTAAATTATTTGCATATTTTAATGTCATCTGAGGCCAAAAAATTATAGCTAGACGTCTAATTCCCATTCATTTCATTACACGCATCATTTTCCATTTTCTGTCAAACTCATTTTCAAACTTATTCAATGTACTAACTCCTATTTTTAAAGTTCTCCAAATGACTACAAAATTTGAAACCTGAAATATCACTGTCTTTATCTCAATCAAAATGAGCACTTGTACTACTGCACTGACCCCAAAGCAGATGAAATTCATTCCCTCAGTGTCCGAGCATTCAACATAGTTTCAGCCATCGTAAAAGTCTTTGAAACCACAACCACTGCAAACAAAACAGGAAAACTCAACAAGAAGGATAAGAAACCTTAAAAGTAGCTCAAGTGGTATCTCTACAATGGTCATTGAAAATGTTAACCAAACAAACAAAACAAACCTAGGGCAGTTTCAGGGTTCAACCCAGTAATATTTCTAGCAACGTCAACTGGATCAACATTTGCCAGACTACAAACACGAGCAGAAAAAGGATTGGGATAAGATAAAATCATTGTTCAATCATAAAATGCATTGCTGTATAATCAGGTTGAGTTCCTGTCCCACTAAAAGCACAAACTATTTTGTAATTGTATTTATCAAATCATGATTTAAGTATTGGACCAAAACTAAAAACCTTTTACACTTGTAACAATGATCTCCAGTGCCATTAGTAATATGCTCTAGCACAAAAGTTGATATTAGACAAAAGGGAAGAAGTCCAACCTTCTTATGTAGGATAACACAAAAGTTAAAAGCATTGCCTTTCCATGGAATCATAATGTTATCTTGAAATGGGGACAAAATAATCTAGTTTAAGAAAATTAAAGAGACACAATTCTATGTACAAGATGTCAACTAAGACCTACACAACCATGAGCAATGTATAGCATCAATTTCACCCAATTTAAAATCCTAAAGAGCAATATGTGCTACTCGGAGAAACTGAAAGCATAAGATTATGAAACTATAATTTCGTGCAGTAGACAAGTTGAAAGGGCAAGTAATATCCAACTATTTTAGCAGAGAAGGTCTTATTGTTTCACTGATAAAAAGAAGCACAAAAAATACAGAGTTACAATAATGTGTACTTACAACCGCAGCTGGCGTCCTCTCGCACATTCAATAGCCTCTGGATCTGAAGGTTGCCAAGAATTAACCATAAACACTTGACGCAAGTTTTGTTCTTAAACAGATGTGAACAATTTAATTAGTAAAACAAGTAAACAACAAACTAAATCCTAAGAGAATCAAAATTAGTGAATGACATGTAGTGCAGATGGGAATGCATAAAATTAACCTGTTTGGAGAGTAGTATGCACAAAAAGAGGGCCTAAGAAGCTTCCACCAATGCCAATAGAAATCACATCCTTCAATGCTTTTCCTGTTGCTCCAACCTGCCAATGCCTACTCATTAGTTGAATTTTACACAGTACATGGCTTAACTAGATCATAAATAAAAACTCAAGCTTACCCAGGAACCACTGCGGACCCTCTCAGAGAATTCTTGGATCTTGTCAAGCACTCGCCAAACATCTGGGACCACATTCTTCCCATCACAGTTTATAATTGCATCCCTTGGAGCACGGAGTGATACATGTAGGACAGGCCTGTTCTCTGTGCTGTTTATCTGGATATGCCACCCCAAACAAAGCAGTTTGATCAAATATCATGAAGAGAGAACATTTGAGCAGTGTGTCCTATTACCGTAAATTTTGAAAGATAACTTATCATGTCAAAATTCTAAGTTGTTGATAGAATCCTAGATCACATGCCAAAGGTTTGGATGCCAAGTATTCAAACATAGGGATGGTGCCTTTTGATTAAGCATCACATAAGCAAACTGAAAGAGTAGGTCTACACGAGTTCATGCATGATTTGGAAGAAGAAAGTAAAACCTCTGCTTACACACTCCCCATTGGACATCCTGTTAATTTTTTCTTTGAGACATGCTGCCTGCATTGGAATATAGCACAATTAGAAAATCTATATTATCCATGCCCTAAGCACGGATACTTCTAAAATGGAGTCGTATCCGTATGGTACTCATGTTAGATACAGATACTCCTTAGATAGTCAGGATACAAAATCGATAATTCCTAAACATATCTAATACTTGATTTTAATTTTCAAAAGTATCGGATACTTTTTGGATACTCTAGGACATGTACTCAAATTATTATGAAACTAAAATTGTAATAATTTTTGCATATTATTATAGTATAATTGTTCGAATAAATACAATAATTATTTTTCAATATTTTCTTATTTCTTACCGAAGAAAAAAATAATGAGATTAAAGTAGTGGTCTACTTTTTTAGATTTTACCAAATTAATGTATCCAGTTAAAAAAATAAAATAAAAAGTAAACTCTCTATTTGCTCTTAAACTAATATCTAATTCCTAAAGAATGGTTCCACACTATTCTTTGAGCTCGTATATAATATAATATTAAAAATTATAACTTTTAATTCTTTCAGCGTATCATGGTTGTTCCTATATCCTATTTTGATTTGAGCTTTTTTCGTATCACTGTATCCGTATCATATCATATCTGTATCCATGCTTCATAGTCCATGCCTAAAAAAGGAATTGCTCCAACACACCTCTGCTAATTTGAAAAGTTTATCCATGGTTTCAAGAGTGGCACATTGCTGTGAATAGTCCAACAGCATCCCATCAAACTCACTACAGGAGACAAAATCCATTATAATGCACATTTTAATCCAATGCCCATTATAATCCTTAGACTTGATGTACTATCTAAACTATACAAAGAAAAGAATAATACAAATTCCATGGGTTAAACAGAGAATCTTACAACATCATTGATTTGCATCGCTCGGTGTCACTCATCAGTTCACGTAAATGCGTCTTTTTGATGTCATCAACAGGGGCCTGCTCACAGACACATGTTTCACCTCAAACACACACACACACACAAAAAAAACTTATTCTGCAAAAGCCCAAATACAAATTGTAAATTGAGGACTACCTTCAAGTTCTTCCATTGTTCTGTGTCACAAATAAGGGCAGACAAATCCATCCGCAATAATTTCAAATCAATTCAAAGATCAAGTGGCCTGCACCAAAACAGCCATCATGTTGCAAACCAATGATAATATAGTTATATTCTTATATGCTCTGTTGGTCAGTGTTATAATGGAACCAAAAATGGAGAAATAATAAACAGAAAACAAACTCACAAAATTTATGTGATTCGACTATAAACTTGTTATGGATTATGTTTATTGCATATTCACTATGTAAATAGCAATCTTCAACACATCATCTATTACAAAAGCTCTCAACACCATAAAACTCTGAATAATTGGGCTGTAAAGATGGTGAATAGGCAATAAATATAATCCAGTCAAATTTGAGACATACAACCATATGATAAAATTCAAGAATAATGCTACATAAACTAACAAATCTTATAATTTTTTATTTTTTATTTTTTACTTATTGATATGCCGCTTATCCTATCATTGAAGTGGTCTTGTTTCAGTTTTCAAAGTTCCTTTTATTGCGTGACGCACCACTTAGTAAAAGAAAATTGGGTAAATTGCACTTAGCCCCCTTTATGGTTGGCTATTTTTCCACTTTAGCCCTTCATATTTTAAGTTTTTCTTAATTTACTCAAAAATAACTTTATGTCCAAAATCAGATAGAAAACAACACATTGATCATCACATGGCATACAAATATTTTACCTAAACCCCAATATAATAATAATTTTTAGCGTGACATTTTTTGTCTAATTTTGAACGCAAGTTAGTTTTGGAAGTAAATTGAGAAATTGAAACATGAATCCCAAAGTGGAAGAACAAAAACTTGCCAAAGTGAAAAAAGGGCCAAAATTGAATATAACGAGAAAAAAAAAAAATTTGAATATAGGATTTTTCATTGTTCACTTTCTTGGCAGTCAAACAAAGGGGTGACACAAAAAGTGATTAATGGGCGCAGGGTAGGACAAATTGAACCTGTAATGCTCCATTTGGTTGATTGAAATGAGAGGGAAGGAATACGTTTATAACGTTAATATTAGTTTCCTAGTCTTCTGGGTTGGCCTACAATATCTCTTAAATATCTAATTTATTGTTATTTAATTGTGTATATAATAAGACTTCAACGTTGTTTCAAAACACACAAAAAATAAGTCTTTCTTCTCCTCTTCTTTTGCTCTATTCTTTTCTTTGTGAGTTTACTGAATTGAGTTGACAAGTGAGCTTTGGGCAATTCAAGGTTCGTGAAATTCACTTTGCTGTACACAAGTGATTTCGAAGGTCGTTGTATCTTGGGGGAGGAACAACATTCAACTTGGTGTAGAAGAGGGTGTATCGTTCGTACGGAGAACACAATCTACGTGCCTCGACCACCATACAGGCTTCTCTAAACATTCTCTCTAATAATAATATTTATTTGTCATTTTTGGTTTATTATTATTTTGGTATTTTATTCTGACAACTATTTAATTTTTTCCAACAATCTTAGGAACGATAATTAAGATTTTATGTTAGAAGTTGTTGTGTTGGTTATAATTTTATTTTGAAGAAAAAAAAATATGGGATTTGATGAAACCAATTCTTGCAAGCTTGAGAAGTTTAATTGCCAAAATTTAGATGTTGGCAAGAACAGATGAAATTTTGGTAACCACTTTGGGTCTTTATTCAATTATTCATAAAGCTATTGTTTCAAAAGGAAAAGAAAAGGTTTCTGAAAAAGAAAAGGATTCTGGAAAGAGTGAAACTTCTTAGGCTGTAGAAATTGTTGAGATAATTATCATAGGACCTATGTGAAACTTCTAAGGCTATAGAAATTGTTGAGACTGGTAAGAATTTAATTTTGTCCATAAAATCTAATGGTGATAATTTTGAAGAAAAAGATTATCTTTGTCATGATAGGATGTTAAGTGCTTTATCTCCTTCTACATATAATATTTTTTACAGTATAAAAACTTCCATTGAATTATGGGAAGCACTTGATTTTAAATATGGGTCTGAAGATGCTGGTCTTAAACGTTACTAACCAAACCAAACCAAGCCTTAAGCCCTATCAAATGGGGTCGGCCACATGAATCATTCTTCTCCACTCGACTCTATCAACAACCATTTAGTTAGTCAAATTAAGGAGATTCATATATCTATTTACTACACTTGCCCACATCAATCTAGGTCTGCCCCTTCCCCTAACACTTCCATCTACCGTCACTATATCACATCTCTTCACTACTGCCTCTGTTGGTCTCCGTTGCATGTAACCAAACCATCTCAATCTATTCTCTCTCAACTTATCTTCTATCGATGCTACTCTTACCCATTCACGAATATACTCATTTCTAATTCTGTCTTTTCTAGTCTTACCACACATCCACCTTAGCATCCTCATTTCCACAAAACACTCATCTTATCTACATATTGTTTCTTAGTTGCCCAACATTCCATCCCATACAACATCGTTGGTGAAAAATTTTTAGGCTTTCATATGATTGATGGTAAATCAATATTGGAACAAGTGCGTGAATTTCAAAATATTTTGTATGATCTGAAAAGAAAAGGAATGGATTTATCTGATATTTTTTCGGTTGCTTCACTGATTAAAAAATTGCCTCCATCTTGGTCAGAATTTGGTAGAATGTTAAAACAAAAACATGATGATTATACCTTTGATGAATTGCTAGGATCCCTGAATATTGAGGAAAAGCACCGTGAAAAAACAAGTTGAGTTTTTAAATTTTGATTTTCAAGCCAAGGCACATTTTGTAGAAAATCTTAAACCCAAACCTTTTAATTTGAAAAAAAAAATGGTGCACACAAGAATGGAAATAACAATCTTAATAATAAATCAAAAGGCAAAAATATTATTCAGAGAAAAATAGTGCCTTGTTGGGTGTGTGGGAAGACTAATCACACTGCCAGAGATCGTTATCATTGGAAAGATCAACCCCATAAAGTCCATGGTCCTCCAGAAACCCCTAAACCACAAGTTAATGTTGGGACTGTAAGGGGCAGCTCTTCTAACCCTACTATCAAGTATTTTGTTAGTGATCCTGAGTTAAATATTGTTTTTACTCAAGTGCTAATATTCATGTGTGCATTGATAAAAATATTTTTTCACCTTATTATCAGGAATCAGGCACAAGAACTGTAAGCATGGGAAATGGGAGCTGGGCCCGGGTACTAGGTGAAGTACAAGTTAGGTTGAAATTGACATCAGGCAATATAATCACCTTAGATGGAGTTTTGCATGTTCCTGATAGTAGGAAAAATTTAATTAGTGCATTTTTGTTAGTTCAACTTGGTTTTTTGAATCAAATAAAGTTGTAATAACTAAGAGTGGTAACTTTATTGGTAAAGTTTATCTTCATGATGGTTTGTTTAGTCTTAATGTTATGGATTCTATTTAAATAAAATTGCATGTTATTCTTTCTCTACTTCTTCTATTGCTAATGTAGAATGTTATAATACTTAGCATAGTAGACTTGGTCAAGTGAACTTGAACACTATTAAAAGAATGATGAGTTTAGAAAAACTAAGGGAAAACTACCAATATGTCCTAATTGTTGGACTTAATTCCCAACAAGTCCTATTGACAATAAGTCCTAGTAAAATCGTCACTAAAAATAATTTTTTGTGACGATTTTTTGTCACAGTAAATTGTCGCTAAAAATTGACTATTAGTGACCTTTTTTTGTCACAGTAAATTGTCGCTAAAACTTACAATTACTGACATTTTTCTGTGACAAAATTTTCAAACTGTCATTAAAAGTTGAAAATTAGTGACTTTTTTTGTCATAATTTTTTTAAACCGCCGCTAAAACTTATAATTAGTGACATTTTTGTGACAATTTTCAAACTGTTGCTGAAAATTAACAATTAGTGATATCTTTAAATAGCATTTGATGAAAAACACAATTAATTATCATAGGACCTATATGTAAGTCCCCCTAGAATTAATTCCAAAATCTGTAATTTATTTAAGGGAAAGTTGTCAAGTATGTGTACAAGCCAAACAAACTAAAAAACCTTTTAAATCTGTTGAAAAGACACATCTTTATTATACCTTATACATAGTGATACATGTGACCTTAACAATGTGTTAACTCAAGGTGGAAAAAGATATTTTATTACGTTTGTTGATGATTTTTATAAATATTGCTATGTGTATTTAATAAGTCACAAAAATGAATTATTTGATAAATTTAAAATATATAAAGCTCGTGTAGAAAATCAATTAGAAAAGAAAATAAAAGTCTTAAGGTCTGATAGAGGAGGCGAGTATACACCAATAGAAATGGAAGAGTTTTGTGAACAACATGGAATTATTCACCAAGAGTCTCCACCTTATTCACCACAATCTAATGGAGTAGCAAAACGTAAAAATCGAACATTGCTAGATATGATAAATGTTGTGTTAGCTAGTTCTGATTTACCTAATAATTTATGGGTAAATCTTTACATTCTGCTTGTCATATATTAATTACAAAAATTAGGAAAAAAACACCTTATGAAATTTGGAAAAATCAAAAGCCTAGTTTAAAATATTTCAAAGTATGGGGTGCTTGGCTAAAGTTTTAATACCAACTACTAAGGAAATAAAATTATGACCAAAAACTGTTGATTGTGTATTTATTCGGTATGCTTTAGATAGTATTGGTTATAGATTCTTAGTAATTAATTTTGAAAATTCTTATATTTCTAATAATATTATAATAAAGTCGAGCAGTTGTATTTCTTGAAAATGTATTTCCTATAAAGATGAGTTATCTAAATCAATTGGTGAAAATTCTATGTCTAATAGTAGTATAGAAAATCAAGTAGGAACTGAAGTAAGAAGTAAAAGAGGAAGAATGTAAAACAATATTGATAATGACATTCTTACTTATTCAATTGAAAATGATCCTAGAACATATAATGAAGTTATGACATCGGTAGATCATACTTTCTGGAAAGATACTATAAATAGTGAAATGGATGCGATTACGACTAATAATACTTGGTACTAAACTGATCCTCCACTAGGTTGTAATACAATAGGCTATAAATGGATATTCAAGAAAAAAATTAAGAACAAATGGGACCATAGAAAAATTTAAAGCTAGACTTGTGGCTAAGGGGTTTAAACAAAAAGAAGGGATAGATTTCTTTGATAAATATTTCTCCGGTAACTCATATAACTACTATAAGGATCTTAATAGCTATTGCCACAATTTATAAATTAGATATTCACCAAATGGATGTCAAAACAGCGTTTTTAAATGGAGAATTAAATGAAGAAATTTTTATGGATCAACCCGAAGGTTTTGTAGCTCCTAGACAAGAAAGAAAGGTATGTAAACTTGTAAAGTCTTTTTATGGATTAAAACAAGCTCCAAAACAATGGCATAAAAAGTTTGATAAAGTAATTCTTTCTAATGGGTTTAATATCAATGATTCTAATAAATGTGTGTATATCAAAAAAATTGATGGTGCTTGTGTTATTCTCTGTTTATATATTGATGATATTCTTATGTTTGGTAGTAATCTGGTTGATATTAATGATACTAAAAATTTCTTATCTAGCAATTTTGATATGAAGGATTTAGGCCCAGCTAATGTTATGTTGGGTATTAAAATAATTGAAAGTGATAAAGGAATTGTTTTGTCACAAGAACATTATGTTGACCAATTGCTAAAGAAATTTAATTATTGCAATGCGAAAGTTGTATCAACTCCATTTGATCCTAATATTTGCTTCAAGAAAAATATGGGTGAAAGTATTTCTCAACATCAATGTGCTTAAATAATAGGATCTTTGATGTATCTTTCTAATTGCACAAGACCTGATATTTCTTTTGTTGTTTTTAAACTGAGTCGTTACACTATTAATTCTAGTTTAGAACATTGGAATGCAATTAAAAGAATTTTTAAATACCTTAAAGGTACAATAAATTATGGAATTCATTTTTGTGCTGTTATCCCAGATAGGCATAATATTTAACATATATATTTTAAAAAGATAATATTATTTTATTTAAATAATATTTAACAAATATATATATTTTAAAAAGATAATAATTTGTGTCAAATAATATGTATATTAACTAATATATTTTAGACATCATCAAAATTAAATAATATGATTAACATGTGCGTTTCCTGCTGTGTTGGAAAGATTTAGTGATGCTAATTGGGTAATTGAATCTTATGAAACTAAAGCAACTAGTGGTTATGTGCTTACTTTAGATGGTGGTGCAATAGCCTGGAAATCTTCTAAACAAACTGTTATAGCTAGATCTACCGTGGAAGCAGAACTCATTGCCTTAGATTTGACTTGTACTAAGGCTGAATGGCTAAGGAATTTATTATCTAATTTACCATTATTTGATAGTCTTATAACTGCTGTCTCTATTCATTGTAATAATCAAGCTACAATTGCTAAAGCAAAAAATGCAAATTTAAATGAGAAGAAAAGATATATTAGAATAAAACACAATTCTATTTAATAGTTATCATCTCAAGGTGATGCAGCACTTGATTTTGTGAGGTCTGAAAAGAATATAGTAGACACAATCTAGTTGTTAAATCAGCAAGGGGAATGGGACTGAAACCCATAAATTAGTCATCGCAATGGATACCTAACCTTTGTGATTGGAGATCCCATGAATAAGGTTCAATAGGTAATAATGAAATTCATGGGTGACTTGGAGGAGCATTAAAATATTAGAGGGAAATTCCCTGGTCCTATTCCTATGGTGATAGTGCTCAATATTGGGACGGGTTTTAGGAAGAGCTTAGCTCTGAATATGTCCAAGGTAGGATTTTTACAAGGCCTTGGTCACAAATCACTCTTGGATGATACACCTATATAAATGTGGCAATGGGGTCGCTGTTGTGGGAAATTGGGTCTCCCTAAAGACACTTATAGAAACAAGATATGTGTGCATGACCATTTTGCTCAAAACCGTTCCAAAACCATGATAATTGCCCATACTGTATGTGTGGTAAGCCTATGTTTGACCACAAGGACCTAGTTCAAGACTTTATTCACTATAGTTCCTTCAAATTGAAACTTACTAACACTAAATGGAGGTTCAAGTCTGGAAGACACCATTGTGTAGTAAAAACGCTCTCTCTTTTTTTTCAATTTTAAATTATATGTGAGGGATTGTTATTTGTAATTTTAAAATTGTATTTGATTTAATTTATTTTATTTGATATTTGCATCCTTTTAGGAATAGGTTTATAACGTTAATATTAGTTTCCTAGTCTTTTGGTTATCCTACAATATCTCCTAAATATCTAACTTCTTGTTATTTAATTGTGTATATAATAAGACTTCAACATTGCTTCAAAACACACAAAAAAGTAGTCTTTCTTCTCATCTTCTTCTACTCTGTTTTTTTCTTTGAGAATTTACTTTATTGAGTTTACAAGTGAGTGTTGGGCAATTCAAGATTCATGAAATTCAATTTGCTGCAAACAAGTGATTTCGAAAGTCATTCTTGGGGAAGAAACACTACTCAACTCGGTGCAGAAGAGGGGTATAGTTCCTAAGAAGAGCGCAATATGCGTGCCTGCTTCTCTAAATTTTCTCTCTAATAATAATATTTATTTGTTATTTTTGACTTATTAGTTTAGTATTGGGCAAATTACATATACAAGAATTTACTTTATTGAGTTTACAAGTGAGTGTTGGGCAATTCAAGATTCATGAAATTCAATTTGCTGCAAACAAGTGATTTCGAAAGTCATTCTTGGGGAAGAAACACTACTCAACTCGGTGCAGAAGAGGGGTATAGTTCCTAAGAAGAGCGCAATATGTGTGTCTGCTTCTCTAAATTTTCTCTCTAATAATAATATTTATTTGTTATTTTTGGCTTATTATTAGTTTAGTATTTTATTCTAACGGTAAATCCTGTTTAATTTTTTCCAACAGGAACAAACATCACAATGAACATTGTTTTATGTAATGATAATTCTATTCCATTTCATTCCAATAAACCAAATGCTACTTAATTGTACAACAACAAAAAAAATAAAATTAGCAATTCAGTAACGAAAGCGAGCCTTTCGATTAATTAAGAAGAATATCTCGAGACCAATGAACACATGAAAGATGTTGGACGACTTAAAGAAGCAAAAAAAATAAAAAGTAGCTGCAGTCCTTGGTTTAATTAAAAGGAAAAGGGAAGGTAATAGGAGTTGAGAGAGCTTTATACCTGGAGATATCGATATAGATTGATTTTCAGCGCAGAAGAAGAAATTGCTGTCTCCACAGAATAGAATTTCCGTTACGAAGACAAAGATGAATGAAAAATACAAATAAATGTGACTTTGGAATTGGAATAGAAGAAGGCAGAAAGAGCTATTGCAGTGCCACGCCAACCTTGCTTGGTTTTGGAATCACGTGGGTGTAGCCGATTGCCGATGTGAACCGGTTTCCGTACTTATCTATATCAGAATGAGACACAGACCAAACGGCTTTGGTGAAAGAAAAATAAAAGTTAAAAGAGAAAGGATATAATTCCGTTGCCGGGAATCGAACCCGGGTCTCCTGGGTGAAAGCCAGATATCCTAACCGCTGGACGACAACGGATTTTGTTATTGTTATTTCCTAGTTTAGCATCATATATCATAATTTTAGTTCCTGTCTGTCGAAGGGGTATATATCATAAAAAGTTTAATGAAATAATTAGAACTTCATTTTAACTATTTTTTCATTTGAGTTTAAATTTGACAAAATGAATAAAGGATTGGAGGTGCCTGGACAAAAGACTCATTTTGTCTACATAAAATTATTCAATATTCAACCCGTTAGGCTTAATTTAGTTGGTTATCATGACTTTTTTAATGGTTTAATCTCAAGGGATAAGTCATGGGTTCAATTCTCTTTAAGAGAAAGATGAATTAAGAAGCAAGTATTTCATACTTTGCAAGAGTTTAACTTCCATAAATGCTATGCTTTTCTATTAGTCCTACAACACCACATCCACATCAATGTGTTAAAGTGTTTATTTGAGGGCTTGTTTAATTAAGCAAATTATGGCATACGATTAAAATTATTTATCACATTGCAATGTTTGGTTGTATTTTTTGTTATTCGGATTAAATTCTAAGGACATTCTATCTAACAAAAGTAGTGATTTTTTTTAATTTTACAACTAATAATACAAAACAAACATGGATAAAAGATAATTATTTATCTCACTAATCCAACTGCATCACTAATTATTCATTATTCTCATAAATTATTAATCATTTCACTATTAATCATATTAATCAAACAATTCATTCATAGCCCATGGAATTGGATTGCCCATCCGGTGAGACCCACAAAATGACGTTTGTTTAGAGGAGAAATGGCCATGAGACTCTTTTGGTCCTTGTCTCACAACAAAATCACATTTTACATAATGAGTGTTTTTAATGTAATTTCATATATTTAATTTTAACTAATTAATACTATCATGCTATTACACAAATAAATATAATCTATTTTACATCTCCAACTTAATACTACTACATTAATAATCCTCTCATTGAATTTCATCATATTAATAGTCTCATCCAACCTAGTCTGGCTAACAAACAAAGCTTAAGATTATAATTAGTTTGGGTGAAATTTTACTATATACACCTCTTAAAAGTGGCGTACGATATGTATCCCTAGTTATGTCATTTTCCTTTTTAGTTATGACTAATTTTCTTATTTAGTTATGACATTATTTTAGTTATGACTCATAAGATATTTGGTTATGCCTTATGTGATGAGATGTTTAGTTATGCCTCATATGATATTTGGTTATAACTTTTTTTTTAGTTATGACTCAGAAAGTATGGAATTATGTCATTTTCTTTTTTAGTTATAAGATATATATGATACACACCTTTTCAAGGGTATATGCCATGGCTCCGTTTGGTTTTGTTTTAGAATTATGATTTGAGTGTGGAGTTGTGATTTAAGTGTGGAATTGTAAGTTGAGTTTTAAAAATAAAAAATTTGTTTGGTTATGAGTTTTGAAAAGAGTTTTTAAATTTTGAAAACTCATAACCAAACAAATTTTTTATTTTCAAAACTCATAACTCAAAACACAACTCCATACTCAAATCATGATTCTAAAAATAATTTTAAAAAATAAAATAAAAATAATATTTTTTGAATTTTTTCTTTTAAAATAGAGTTTTGAATTGTATGTTTGGTTTTGAATTTTGAAAAAAGGGTTTTGAATTGAGTTTTGAGTTGTATATTTGGTTATGAATTTTGAAAAAAAAAATTATTAAAATTATGATTCCAAAGAGAACATGGCCATATTTTTCCCCTCTATAAAACCAAATCAAAGATGAAGTAGATCATCAAATTTCCAACAATCAATTTTTTTTACTAAAATTTAATGAAATGATTGAAAATATTTTCTTTTATGGAAATGGATAAAAGATGTATTCGGGATAAAGTGTGAATTTTTTTAAAAGTTTCAATAAATTAAAAAAGAAAAAACACAATCACAGTGCCCATATCAAATAAAAATTATAACTAAATTTATACTCAGATTTGAATATAAATAAATAAATAGTAAGTGTACGGGGAGGAAATAATTCTCCTCGTATAATCCTGTTGACCAAGTCCACGCTCCTCCGTACGACGTCGCTTTGTCACCTGAAAACACAAACGTGAGCTAGCCGGCGGGTGTGTGCCGGAAACCTCTCCGATGCCTAAGTCAGAAAACTTGACAAATAGACAAAGCTCTAAGTTCTCAGAAAGATTGTGTTCAATTACCTCCTCCTAGGTGATGCTTGTGAGCTTTTATAAGTTTCCCGTGGCACAATCCTAGTAGGACTTGTATTTCTCCATGCAGAGTCCTCCTAGGATTCATACTCCTAAGGATAATGCTTATCCTTTTACACCCTCCCCCACTGCTTAAACCAAGTGGGATGGTTTTCTCCATGGCCGAACTACCACATGACTGAAATAACACTGGCTATGCTGAGCCACATAGAAGGCCGAACTATCCTTAGCTCGGTCTTCTCTTCTAACTCATTACTTCGGCTGCCCTTGTTCAACCTTGGTGCGTTTAGATCAAACTTCCAAGTAGCAAGTTCTGACTGACCTAACCAGAGTATGTCACGATCGGACTAGTTTCGAAGCCGGTCTTCCCAAAACATATTGCGACCGGACTAACTCTGAGACCGGCCTAACTCCGAGTTGCCTCTGGACCGGAGTAGCTTTACTCCTCCTTGGGCCGAAGCAACTATCTTTTCTTGAGCCGGAATAAACTCACCTCCTTGGGCCGAAGTAACTTTGTCTCCCCAAGGCCGGAGTAACCTTGCCTTCTAGGCCGGAGTATTCAGTACGGCCTTTTTACCTAGTCCTCTGCGTTTTGGGCCTCAAAACCCAACTCGAAGCTCGGCCCAATTTTTCCCAAAAATTACCCTCTCAGTAAGAATTAGAGATGGCTTAAATTAGATGAAATTATTTGTAACTTTGTAACAACTGTTCATGTAAATTGTTTGGAAATCAGTTATTTAATTATTGAAAAAAATTAGTAAATGAAGGGGGTTTAAGTGTTGTGATTTTTAGTTTAGGGGGATAAATCGACACAAAAGCAGTAGTTTTTTTTTTTTTTTTTTGAACTTAGAAACACCAAAAGGCTTACAAAACATCCACATACAAAAGAGCAGAGAGCTCACGGGGGGGATTGGCAATCCAATCTGAAGGAAGCGAGCCCTTTAGGTTCATGGAAGCAACCCAATGAGCCACACGGTTATAATTGTTGGAAAATTGGTTTATATAAAGCTTATTTTGGGTCAATTTTGAGACCAAAATTGAGTGGACCCCAAACGTCTTTTGGGGTGGGTCCGAAGAGGTGATGTATTTCTTGCCGCATGGCAAGTCACACGGTAAAGACGGTTCGTGAAAACCATTTACGAGTGAATGGGAACATGACGTCGTTTTCGGGTTTAACATTAATTTTTTAGACAAAGTTCTTTTGAATTTTTTCAATAAAAATTATTGTGGGAATATAATTTAAATACAAATTTGATTTTGGTTTCCTTAAGTGGTTTCCTTAATTTAATTTAATTAAACTATTCAAATAGTTTAATAATAGTATTCCAACAGTTGTAATTGTTTCACCAACGGCACCTTTTTCAAATTGTTTGGAAATTTGTTCTTAGCAAACAGACAATCAAGTTGCACCTGTTCAATTTTATTGTACACCTTTTGCCTTCAATTTGATATCTTTTCGGGTCTAATTTTTTGCCTATAAATATAGATACATTTCTCGCAGTCAAGACAATCCAAAAAATTCAGTCTGCAATCTTTCAATTTGCTGTCCATTTTGTTCTAGTGTATTTATTCTTCATATATATAATTTTAGGAATAAATATTAAGAGAGTATAGAACACAAGGTTTGGTTCGCCGTATAATTTTGTTTGGTGTGCTACAACAATTTTGTGAAGATCATTGTATCCTGGAAGATAGACGCCACTCAACCGTAAGCACCGTAGCGCGGCGAATCTGTCTTAAGGACAGAGTGTCACACACTCGACTTGGTCTTTGAATTTCTAATTCGGTTCAATAAATAAATTCGGTACGTTATTTATTTATTTATTTGTTTGAGTTTGTTTCCATTTATTTTATTTACACAGAAGATTGTTCCAATAATCTTAAGACAGATTCGAATTATTCTGTTTATAGAATTTTTCGTTTGTTTCCTTTTCCCTTTCTTCTTTTAAGAAAATTATTTTCTGTAGATTTACAAAATAATATTCTGTAGATTTACAAAATAATATTCTGATTGGAAAAACAAATAGTGATTATATGTTATTTGACAGATAGTAATAATATACAGTCTATTTTCTTTGACAACTAGTAGTACGATACTGGTGTCATTAACAATTCATAATATATTTTTGTGGAATTTTTTCAGAAATTAATTTTGGGTTTTAGAAATTATTTTCTGAGTTTTCCTTTACTTAAAATTCTGTTTTAGTATTTTAATTATTGAAGTGTTACAGAAATTAATTTTCTGTGTGGAATTAATTTGGTTGAATAAAATTTTATTTTATTTCCAAATTAATTAAAAAATAAAAGTTATCTTCTAATTTCTTTTATTTTACAGAATTTAATTTCCTGTGTGGAATTAATTTGGTTGAATAAAATTTTATTTTATTTCCAAATTAATTGAAAATATAAAAGTTATATTCTTATTTCTTTTATTTTACATAATTTAATTTCACGTGTGGAATTAATTTGGTTGAATAAAATTTTATTTTATTTTATTTTATTTCCAAATTAATTGGAAAATAAAAGTTACATTCGTGTTTCTTTTATTTTTTACAGAATTTAATTCTGTGAATTTGGTTTAATTTTCTGTGTAGTGTAAATTCTAATTATAATTTTGTTTTATAAATTAGAATTGATGGCTACTAAAACTAATGCCCAAACAAGTACTACTGTGGTAGCTGCA